CACACAATAGCCAGTAAGTCATATCGTGTACTATTATTTACATTTTACCTTTTAATCTGTCTTTCTCTCTGATATCAATCAACAATAATTAATCTGTTGTCTTGGTCACACAATAGCTTGTAAGTCATAATGTGTACTATTATTTACATTTTATCTTTTAATCCGTCTTTCTCTCTGATATCAATCAACAATAATTAAACTGTTGTCTTGGTCACACAATAGGAAGTAAGTCATAATGTGTACTATTATTTACATTTCATCTTTTAATCTGTCTTTCTCTCTGATACCAATCAACAATAATTAATCTGTTGTCTTGGTCACACAATAGAGAGTAAGTCATAATGTGTACTATTATTTACATTTTATCTTTTAATCTGTCTTTCTCTCTGATATCAATCAACAATAATTAAACTGTTGTCTTGGTCACACAATAGACAGTAAGTCATAATGTGTACTATTATTTACATTTTATCTTTTAATCTGTCTTTCTCTCTGATACCAATCAACAATAATTAATCTGTTGTCTTGGTCACACAATAGAGAGTAAGTCATAATGTGTACTATTATTAACATTTTATCTTTTAATCTGTCTTTCTCTCTGATATCAATCAACAATATAATTAAACTGTTGTCTTGGTCACACAATAGGAAGTAAGTCATAATGTATACTATTATTTACATTTCATCTTTTAATCTGTCTTTCTCTCTGATACCAATCAACAATAATTAATCTGTTGTCTTGGTCACACATTAGATAGTAAGTCATAATGTGTACTATTATTTACATTTTATCTTTTAATCCGTCTTTCTCTCTGATATCGATCGACAATAATTAAACTGTTGTCTTGGTCACACAATAGCCAGTAAGTCATAATGTGTACTATTATTTACATTTTATCTTTTAATCTGTCTTTCTCTCTGATATCAATCAACAATAATTAAACTGTTGTCTTGGTCACACAATAGAGAGTAAGTCATAATGTGTACTATTATTTACATTTTCTCTTTTAATCTGTCTTTCTCTCTGATATCGATCGACAATAATTAATCTGTTGTCTTGGTCACACAATAGGGAGTAAGTCATAATGTGTACTAATATTTACATTTTATCTTTTAATCTGTCTTTCTCTCTGATATCAATCAACAATAATTAAACTGTTGTCTTTCTCACACAATAGAGAGTAAGTCATAATATGTACTATTATTAACATTTTATCTTTTAATCTGTCTTTCTCTCTGATACCAATCAACAATAATTAAACTGTTGTCTTGGTCACACAATAGACAGTAAGTCATAATGTGTACTATTATTTACATTTTATCTTTTAATCCGTCTTTCTCTCTGATATCAATCAACAATAATTAAACTGTTGTCTTGGTCACACAATAGGAAGTAAGTCATAATGTGTACTATTATTTACATTTCATCTTTTAATCTGTCTTTCTCTCTGATATCAATCAACAATAATTAATCTGTTGTCTTGGTCACACAATAGACAGTAAGTCATAATGTGTACTATTATTTACATTTTTAGCTTTTAATCTGTCTTTTTCTCTAATACCAATCAACAATAATTAAACTGTTGTCTTGGTCACACAATAGCCAGTAAGTTATAATGTGTACTATAATTTATATTTTATCTTTTAATCTGTCTTTCTCTCTGAT